TCCATGGGACTCTCCTCATTAGTGGGGATTGATTCTCCACTCCTACATCATGGACTGAGTTGGCAAGAGTTTGAGAGAGAAGAGAGATCTTGAACTTCTAGATTTTAGCTTTGAGAAAGAAGGAACTAGGTTCCAGACTCTCTTCAGGTCCCTGAAGGTAGAGAAAGACTCTAGAAAAAAGTCAACATGTGGAAGAGCTGGCACCTATATCATGTCCCTATTCTCAGCTTGCAACACTAGAGACTTTGGAGGGAAGTCATGGGTCCATGAGGTTAAGGTACCAGATGTTCTACATGTTGATTTATCACCAGAGTCTTTCTCTCACTTCAGAGACCTAAAGAAAATCATGTCTTCTTTCCTGAAGTTAGAAGTTAGCAGATCAAGATTTCTCTTCTCTCGCAAGTTCTTGTCAACTCTGACCTTTGCACAGGAATAGAACATTGAGTAATAAATCTCCATAAATGGGGAAAGTCCAATGCAAATAGGCTTTGAGCCACGGGTTACCTAAGTAACATGGTAAAATAGAAAGAGTCAGAGTTTGCCTGCTTCCCCATTTATCCCCAGCAACTTGACCACTGACCTGACCAAGTATTACCCTCCTAGGTCTCCCTGAGCTCTTCTGGGCTCCATGATAATTTATATCCTCCAGGCCCAGGATGCCTTACTTGAAATGCTCCATGGTTCAGATCTTTCCAGACTCCCCTAACTCCCAGTCCATTAGAACTTATTCATCCAGTGCTCCATGCCTTTGGGACATGCTTTCCCATGTTCTCTGCTTTCCAAGTCAATAACTAGCTACCATGATAACATAAGCCATGATACTGAATGAATGGACAATTAGTAGGATCCTTTATATAAGAATCATTGGCATATAGGATGAGAAGTCTTGACAGAGTTGTGATCTGCACTAATGGACAGACTACCCACATTGATGAGAGCAAAGATCCGTTAAGGTATAACAGTGAGTAATGAGAGTTCTCTAAGGTAATTGCTGTACCTTTTTATTGAACTCTTCTGAAAGTAATACCTTAACTCAAAAAAGGTTTTGAGGTACCATGGCAGGTTGGTGGTGGGTAATTGGGAGGGAAGTAGATAGGACATTATGGAACTCTTTAAAACTTTATGTTCAGCTGGCTACTTCACTTATGGACAGTAAAAGTCCTTTGAGTCAAAATTCTAATGGTCACTATTATAAAAATTGGCTTCCAAGATGAATTTAAATTATAAATAATAAAGGGAGTGGATGTATTTGTTCTTAATTTATTTTTAGGGCAGCTTTTTCATCTATATGTTATCTTAGAAAAAGGCTTCTGAAATTATATGAGATTTCTTCCAGTATGAGTCCTTTGGTGGAGTATTTCATTTATTTAGTACAGGTAAATATAACATTAACAAATCTGTCATTGAAGAATGTCTAAATTTGCTAGCAGATGTTTAGTTGCTGATATGATTAGGGAATACAGCTATTCCTTATACAACTTTGACATCTCCTCCATCCAAAACACATACATAGACAGCGCTGCTCCTTTTCCACCTGTGACTCCTATCGGCATCCACAGGGGGGCAGAACATACCATACAGCACAGTTGCCTCAATCAGTCTGTTGAAAATGGCAATGCAGGGATGATGCCACAATGCTCTAGTTCTTTCTTTATTGCTTGTCCATATTCTTTTGGTTTGTGAGATCTCACTATAAGAAAACCAGGAGACTCATTCACTTTGTGTTCTTCCTGGAAGAAGATTCTGAGGGAATGAATGATGGGTCCAAAGGCAAGACGTGAACTGGTCTCTCTGACATTATTTCAAATGTATAATGGAGAGGGGAGAGTGAATTGTGACTTTCTTATTGATCTTATTGATCAATTGGTCAATTGATCTTATTGATCAAAAAGAAAAGAAAGAAAAGAAGGGAAGGGAAGAAAGAAAGAAGGAAGCAGACATTTAAAATTTAAAGGTAATATCATAAACTTTTTTTAAAGCATTGTTGGGGTCTCTATTTGGAATACTATTTATGGACTAAAAAATACCACTTTGCCTACAGTAATGTAAATGCTTATCACAAAGGTTTTAGGGTCAGAAGGAGGGAAGATTTTATATATATATATATATATATATATTTAATGCAGGAAAGACACAGCAAAAGGGACTCTAGACTTGGAACCAAGTGACTTTAGTTCTGGCTCTGATATTGACTATGTGACTTCGAATAAGTTACTTAGCCTCTCTATGCCTCAGTTTTTTCATCTGTGAAAGGGAGGGTGGCATAGTCAGGTACTTTCTATCTCTGTTCTGGCTCTAGTCATTTTTGTAAAATGAGAACCAGTGTGATAGGCAGAATTAAAAAATTGGTTAATCTTTTTAAGAAGTTTTTTTTTAAATTTTTTACAAGGACAATGCTGAAGCAAGCAGGAGAGACTATATCCATTGTAGTCTTAGGCCAAGAGTCATTTAATGCTCCACAGAAATCTATCACATGTGCGGAAAGATCTTGAACCACAGCAAATATGTTCATTACTCTGTTTCCTGTTTACTGATAACTTGTAACAGATAATAATTGCTTTGGGCAAAGAGAAGACAGAACAGGCTGGTGCAGATGCTAGTGGGCAGCTCTGCTATTGGATGGGAGGGTAAAACTCATGAACCATTATAAATCAGACTCCATATTGTAACCCTGATAGAAATTAAAATGCTGATAATACAGACCACAAGTTTTTATTTCCCTAAGGGAAGGGATGAAAACAAAATAAGAGGAGAAGCCCTTCACTTGATACACTTGATAGCCAGATGCGCAAAGGAAGATGTAAAATGAGCCAAGCAACATCTATGTTTGTTTTATCACTAACAGGTAGGGAGAAAACAAAAGTCAGTCCTTTTTCACCCCTACACTTTGGAGGGAAAGTGTCATTTTGAGTCTTCAGCTTTGGTGAAGTGACTGGTTAGGGCCAGGAAAAGGTCTGGGTGTGGGGTAGGAAAACAGACATTGGGGCAGAGTCAGATCACAGCTGCGAATGAAAGGGATTAGTTGGGGGTCAGAGAAGGGGGAGCAGCAAAGAAAAAGGGTAGAAACAGCACAAGGAGGGAAGTAACAGTAAGAAAATGAGGCCCAGCAGTTACAGAGACCAGAAAAAAAACAGCTAGTGAGAGGAAATGGAACGGAGCAGGCAAGACAGGGGAATCAATGCAAAGCAGAGAGCCTCAATAACCAAGGTCTTTCTTAAGAAAAGAGAAAGGTTCAAAACAGGGAAACACAACCAAACAAAAAAAAAAAAAAAAAGTCAGTCACCAGGGCAGGAAACTGAGTAAAAGCAAAGGAGAAAGGGAAAGAAAGTAAAGGGTCTGAAAATGAAAGCAGGTTTATTTGTGAGGCTGAATGACAAAGAGAATCAAAAGGAGGAAACGAAGCCAGGCTAAGATAGAGGAATCAGGTCACTGGAAAGCAAGAGAAGGGACCCCGGAGAAACATAAAAAAGGAGAAAGATTTTCGACTAGAGATACACCCCCTGAAAGTCATAGTATCCTCCCTCTAGTACCATCCCTCCTCCTCCACCCTCCCCACTATACTAGCTATAAACAAGTGTGTGAGGGAATCTCTTTAGTAACTGTGTGTGTGCAATTGATTCTAATACAAAGGAAGAATGAGTGGGAAAGCAGTAAGAGAAAATTGATTATCCATTGGAAACTGGGAGCCAGAAGGCTTGGATTCAAGAGGGCCTACTAACTCATTGTGTCAACTTTGGGCAAGCCACAGGATTTTAGGTACCTCATCAACGAAGAGGTGCAACTACGGAAGCTCTAACAATCTATAATCTACAGATGGGGATTGCTGGGGAAGTCTTTGAGAGGATGTAAGGTGGGTTGGCCGAAGAAGAACCAGATTATGGCATAGTAGGAGAGAAAGGAAGGAATTCTTGGGAAAGGGAAGGACAGAGAGGAGGGTGGGAGGTAAAGAGATGGGAAGGGAAGAATGGTAGAACAGAACCAGGGAAAGGGAAACAACAAGCGAAATAGGAATGTCGGGAACTTTGGAAAGGAGGAAATACTGAGGGCAAGAGGAAGAAACCAGGGGGAAATTGGGATGGAAGTGGGGGGTGGGAGCATATTGAGGTCTCTGTAGCAAAAGTGGATGGAAAAGAGGAAAGTCAGAGCTGAGACAGTGGCAGCGGGGAATGTTGAAAGAGTAGCAGTCTTGTGCCTTCTCGCTCCTTGCCTCTAGAGTCTGAGTTGGAAGCTCCTAGGGATATACCCTCTCCCATTCCCCCCCCCTTCCCCCAATCTGAGGGACAATCAATAGGAAGCCAAAGCCTTTCAGAGACAGTTTCAGTCTTAGGCTCTTACAGTGAAGTTGGCCTGAGAGGATTCAATGGCACTGAGCAGACACCCAGAGGGGAGGGTTAACAGGGGCAGCTTGGGGCTAGAACGCGACCAGAGAACTAGCTAGGGCCAGCAGCCCGTGCGCTGAGACGGGAGGTGCGCCTCCTTGGAGCGGGCTCTGGGGGGCGCCGCCTTCTCTTCCTTCCAACGGGTCAGCTCCGAGGGAGAGCTGGAGATTGTTGAAGAGTTAGGAGGCGGGCAGGATGCAGCGAGGCACCCAGCCTCGGGCCCACCAAGGGGTGTCTGCGACCGCCCCACTCTCTGCCCTTCCCTCCTCTTCTTCCCCAATCCCGCAGCTGACTCTACATCTCGCCCCGTCTCCGCTGTCCCTCCACCCCACCTTCTCCCGTTTCCCCAGCTCCAGTGTCCAGCAACCGCGAGCCACGCGCAGCCCTGAGCAACCCAGTGCGCGTCCCGCGGGGGCGCTGCCTCCCCCTCCCACACATGCTCCCGCCCCCTCGCCCCCACTCCACCTCTTCAACTCCTTTCCGCATCACCCTGGCCTCTAGTCCTAGCCCTCCCCTCCCGGCAAGGGGCGGGAGGGGGCGTGGCGGGGCCGGGGCTAGTGCTGTGGGACCGGGGATCCTTGCACTCTCTGCCGCACGGCAAGCCCTGCCGTAGCCTGCGCCCGCAGCCGCTGTCCAGCCCGCTCTCTCCGTGCCCCGAAGCCACGCCGCGCTCTCCTCGCCTCCAGCCGCAGGAGGGAAAAGGGCTGAGTGGAGCATCAGCCGCTGCTCGCCATGGATGCTCACCGGGCCCTGCTCTCGGCAGTCTTCCTCATCAGTTTCCTGTGGGATTTACCCGGTTTCCAGCAGGCTTCTATCTCATCCTCCACCTCCACCTCGTCCTCTTCGTCCTCGTCCTCGTCCGCCGAGCTGGGCTCAGCCAAGGGCATGAGGAGCCGCAAGGAAGGGAAGATGTCCCGGGCACCGCGAGAAAGCGCCGCGGGCCAGGGGAACCCGGAGCAGGCGGACGAGCCTCCGCGGCAGGAGCGTCCGCAGCCTGCACGCCAGGAGCCGCAGCCCGAGCAGCCCAGTTCCCAGCAGCGGCAGTCCGAGACTCACGGGCAGCTGGGCAGGAGTCCCCGGGTGGTGCCCCATGAGTACATGCTGTCCATTTACAGGACCTATTCCATCGCAGAAAAACTGGGGATCAATGCCAGCTTCTTCCAATCCTCCAAGGCTGCCAATACTATCACTAGTTTTGTAGACAAGGGACGAGGTAAGTTAAAACAACAAAACAAAACAAAACCAAAGAAGCCCGTTTTCCCTTGCTCGTGGGCGGCTGGATGCCTTCCCCTCCCCTTGTCTGTCCTAACCCCAGATCAGTTCTAGGGAAGGCTTGAGTTGGCATGTATCCCCTTCCCCTTTATATCGCCTTCTCTTTCCTGAAACACTAAAGACCTTGCTTGTTTTAGACACGGTAGAATTGACTTGTTTAATTTCTAAATCTGGCTGTTCGGGACGTGAGCTGCTTCAGATTATACTTCAACCTGTGCCCTCCCTTCTTTCCCGTCCAGAAAGGCATTTATTTTCTGCATTGCTTTTGTCGGCCGGGGTAGAAAGTATTGAGGAGGTGGGCTGGCAGTTGGGGACCGGGAAGTTGGGGACCAGCGAAGGCTGGTGTGTGTATGGAGGGGGGGGGGGGGGGGGGTGGTATTGCCCTGCATTGAATGAGGAAGGTCAGCATCAGGGTTTAGGAAAATGATCAGAGAAACATCTCTTTAGGGTTCTGGGGCTCCTAGGGCTTGTGTGTGTGTGTGTGTGCGCGCGCGCGCGCGCGTGTGTGTGTGTGTGTGTGTGAGAGAGAGAGAGAGAGCGAGAGAGCGAGAGAGAATATCCTCTATAGAAGTTCTTGCTTCTGTCTGCACAGCTTTGAGGCGGATATAGCAAAACTCTGACGGACTGGAGCTAGCGACTGGAAGTGCCCGCTAGCTAGCTCTGTGAGGAAACACTCGGGAGTCCTTTTCTCTGAGACTGAAATCAGTCAGCCAGACTGGGAAGTTACTTCCTCTGGGGTTCGATTTACTCTCTAGCTCAGGTAAATCTTGTTAAGTGGCAGCATAAGGTAGTTGACTTGAACTAAGAAACGTAAAGGAAAGAAGATGCGGGAGAACACTGAGGAAAGGGGATGCGGGCTGACGCGTTTTGCATTTCTTTATTAAAAACAAAACATCCTAGGTTCTCAGGTCCAGAAGTCGGGCTCTGCATTTTTCTCACTCTAGCAAACAAGAACCTTTTTGGCCATTTTCATCAGGTCCCCTGCCCAGATGGTTTCTTCGGTGTGGTACCGCCCTCCCCCCACCCCGACTTATACCTCACCATCCACGCTCCTTTTCCTGACTACTCTTCCAGAAAGAAACAGTTCCATGTCCCAGGAGTTCTACAAGTTCAGGAAGTTAAAATCCCTAGAGTGGATAAATAGAAAAGGAAAAGAAGAGGGGAAGAAGGCTGGGGAAGGAAGGAAGGAAGGAAGGAAGGAAGGAAGGAAGGAAGGAAGGAAAGAAAAGAAAAAGGGGGGAACTAGTAATCTACTCTCTCATTCTCTCCAGACTCCTTGCAACTCCTAGTCTGATCCCCCATCCCACCCTCTTCTCTAGGTCTGGGGCTAATATACCCAAGACCTGCGAATACTGAGGTTCGGGGGAGTCCAAGACAGTTACGAGGTGAGGAGGATCCTTAAAGGAACCAGTAACTCCAAAGAGAAATAGCAACCTACACCCCCCCCCCCCCCCCCGATGCCCTTGCCTTATCTCTTTCCTGAGCCACTAATGGCAGACTAATTAACTGACCCTTAATGAGAGTCGTAAATTCTTCCCCCACCCCCTCGACGTTCTTGGACCTCCTCCTATCCCCAGCTTCTCCAACCTGCCCACCAGCCTTCCTGGCAGCACACGGAACCTGCTCCTCGCAACCTGCCCTTATTCAGTTCCCTACGGTGGAGCTTGGCCGAGGGTCAACGGGGTTCATTAGCTGCTGAAAGCCCCAGACAACAAATTAACTTCGTGGTTTTTTTTGTTGAGTTCAGGACAAACTTCGACTTGGAAGACCCACATGCCTTCTTTGTAGTTGTATGAGCTGGCGATTTGGTTCCCGGCTTCCATAAAAATTGCGAGTCAGTGTAGAGCCTCCACCTCCTCCGCGGGACCTCTATTTCTCAAGGAGAGGATGCGGTTCCCTTGGACTTGTGTTTAGGAGAGAGAGAGAGAGAGAGGGAGGGAGAGAGAGAGAGAGAGAGAGAGAGAGAGAGAGAGAGAGAGAGAGAG